GCGTGGCGGGGGAGGACGCGCCGCCGGAGGAAGAGCTGCGTGGCTAGACAGCCCCCCGCTACACTGCCATGGGGCAATGGAAGATCTGCCCCTCCCCTCCCCCGTGCCTCTCCCATCTCCTGGGACCCGAGGGGCCACACCGGACAGCCCCCCGCTGCACTGCCATGGGGCAATGGAAGATCTGCCCCTCCCCTCCCCCGTGCCTCTCCCATCTCCTGGGACCCGAGGGAGGCCACACCGCTGCAGGCAGCTGGGCACAAGGCGGGGGGCAGGGGTTGTGCCTTCTTCTGAAGCATCAGGCTTTAGCTGCCCTCTGAGACAGAGCCCACAAGTCTGGTCCAGCACAGGGGCGGGGCCGGGGGCCACACGGCAGCAAGACTAGGGACAGCAGCAGGGCACCCGTATTTCTGGGGCACCGCTACTGTCAGTGTATAGGGGTGCCAGTTTAATAATCCCACCAAGGGCACCAGAAATCCTCAGGATGGCCCTGCACACCAGGCACGAGTCCTGTGATGTCTGGTGGGGCTGCGGACGCCCGGTGCAGCACTGCGTGGTGAGACGGGAGGGAAGTGTGGCTGGGGTTGCTGGGTGCAGCAGGGTGGGGGGACATGGTGGCAGGGCTGAGGCAGCGGGACTGGGGGGAGGACGGTGGTGTGGCTAGGGAGGCCCAGTGCTGGGGGGACATGGTGAGGTGCTGTGCAGGGTGTGTGGGCTCGTAGGTTGGGGGCCAGGCACGGGACGCTTTGCAAACGGGCAGCTAACAGGGAATCTTGGGAGGGTGTTGGGAAGTGGGTCTGGCCCACAAAAGCTCATCACCTAATAAACCATCTTGTTAGTCTTTAAAGTGCTGCATGGTCCTGTGTTTTGTTTCAGCTACCCCAGACTAACACGGCTACATTTCTATTCCTATTCTAGATAGTTGGGTTGTGATGACCGGGAGAACCATATGGTGACTTGCCTGCCTGGTGCAAAGGTTGTGATTCTCTCATGTGCAGTGCCGGTGAGGAGCCGGTGGTTGTGGTACCTGTGGGTACCAGTGACATAGGAAAGGGTAGGGAAGAGGTTCTGGAGGCCACATTTAGGTTGCTAGGAAAGAGATTGAAATCCAGGACCTCTATGGTGGCACTCTCTGAATTGCTTCCGGTTCCACGCGCAGGGCCGGGTAGGCCGGCAGAGCTTCAGAGTTTCTGCCTGGATGAGACGATGGTGCGGAGAGGAGGGGTTTAGATTTATTGGGAACTGGGAAAATGTTTGGGATCGGGGGAGCTTATACAGGAAGGACGGGCTCCACCTAAACCACAATGGAACCAGACTGCTGGCACTTAACATTAAAAAGGTCATCGAGCAGTTTTTAAACTGAGGGCTGGGGGAAAGCCAATGGGTGTGGAGGAGCACAGGGATCAGACAGAGGCATCTCTTAGGAGAGGGTCTATTAATAGAGATGCTCTGTGTTCTAGTCAGGAGGAGAGGATGGAAGTGTGGGTCAGATCAGATGAGAAACAATCAAGTCATAGAATCATAGAACACTAGGACTGGAAGGGACCTCGAGAGGTCATCGAGTCCAGCCCCCTGCCCTCATGGCAGGACCAAGTACTGTCTAGACCATCCCTGATAGACATTTATCTAACCTACTCTTGAATATCTCCAGAGATGGAGATTCCACAACCTTCCTGGGCAATTTATTCCAGTGTTTTGACTACTCTGACAGTTAGGAACTTTTTCCTAATGTCCAACCTAAACCTCCCTTGCTGCAGTTTAAGCCCATTGCTTCTTGTTCTATCCTCAGAGGCCAAGATGAACAAGTTTTCTCCCTCCTCCTTATGACACCCTTTTAGATACCTGAAAACTGCTATCATGTCCCCCCTCAATCTTCTCTTTTCTAAACTAAACAAACCCAATTCTTTCAGCCTTCCCTCATAGGTCATATTCTCTAGACCTTTCATCATTCTTGTTGCTCTTCTCTGGACCCTCTCTAATTTCTCCACTTCTTTTTTGAAATGCAGTGCCCAGAACTGGACACAATACTTCAACTGAGGCTAATCAGCGCAGAGCAGAGCGGAAGAATGACTTCTCGTGTCTTGCTCACAACATACCTGTTAATGCAGCCCAGAATCATGTTTGCTTTTTTTGCAACAGCATCACACTGCTGACTCATATTCAGCTCATGGTCCACTATAGCCCCTAGATCCCTTTCTGCCGTACTCCTTCCTAGACAGTCACTTCCCATTCTGTATGCGTGAAACTGACCCCATTCTGTATGCGTGAAAGTGAAAAAGAGTCTAACACATCAGGCAATGGCAGACAGATAAATAATAGACAATAATAAAAGACAAATGCTAGAAGTCTAAATAAGAAGATGGGTGAACTCGAGCGCCTTGTTTTAAAGGATATTGATATAATAGGCATCACGGAAACTTGGTGGCATAAGGACAATCAATGGAACACAGTCATACCAGGGTACAAAATATATTGGAAGGACAGAACAGGTCGTGCTGGTGTGGGAGGGGCACTGTACGTGAAAGAAAATGCAGAATCAAATGAAGTAAAAATCTTAAATGAGCCAAAATGTTCCACAGAATCTCTATGGCTAGTAATTCCAAGCTCCAATAATAAGAACATAGCGGGAGGGATCTATTAGCAACCACCTGACCAGGACGGTGCTAGTGACTATGAAATGCTGAGGGAGATTAGAGAGGCTATCAAAATAAAAAACTCGATAAAAGTGGGGGATTTCCACTGTTCCCATATTGACGGGGCACACGTCACCTCCGGATGGGATACTGAGATACCTTAAATAACTGCTGCTTGGAGCAGCTGGTTCTGGAACCCACAAGGGAAGAGACTATTCTTGTTTTAGTCCTAAGTGGAGCGCAGGATCTAGTTCAAGAGGTGAATATAACTGGACCGCTTGAAAATAGTGACCATCGTGTAATAAAATGTAACATCCCTCTGGTGGGAAACCACCTCAAGAGCCCAACACTAGCAGTTAATTTTAGAAAGGGGAACGGCACAAGAATGAGGAAAAAACAACAAATGGTCTGGCAGC